CCCGAACCACCAAAAGTGATTTCTGTATATTTAATCACCTGAGAACAAAGTCTCCGTAAACTAAGTAAACAATGCTCAAGCGTAGATGATGCCGACCAGTAATGCAGCTGTCCGCGAGCCATGGAGGACATGCCGCGAGCAGACGAAAAGTGTACTGGTTGCCACCGACCCCAAGCTATTCCGCTGAAGTACCGGCTCTCCCCCGCCAGAATCCCGATGTGAGAAACAGGTTGGGTTCATCCGTCCGCGAGCCGCGCGGACGAGTCGCGGACGAGGGGAATCGCTGATGTGAGGTCACGTGACGCGCCGTCCGTCCCGCCACATCGGGATTCGATCCGTCGTCTGAATGCACCATAAAGAACTGGGGTTTCCGGAGCCTTCCACTATGGCGTCTCTCATAATGATATGGTGGTTTTGGGACGTTGAACCCCATATATCAATCAATCAATCAATCAATCAAGTAATCAATCAATCAATCAATCAATCAATCAATCAATCAATCATCCAATCAACTAATCAGTAACATTAATTAATTAATTAATCAGATAACATTAATTAATTAATTAATTAATTAGCTAACATTAATTAATTAATTAATTAATTAATTAATTAATTAATTAATTAATAATTAATTAATAATTAATAATAATTGTCATTCAATCAACAAATAAACAAATAATGTAGCATGTTATATTCGTATGTTCCCCGACGACTGTGTTATTTTTATCATACTGTAACGAACATTTCAAAACAAGAATCTGTTCACAACAACCTTGACAACGCACATAACTGGTGCATTCGTTGGAAAATGACCCTTAGCCATAGAAAATGCAAATTTCTTTCGATTTCTCGCAGGCTTAATCTATTCCTTTCAACCGACTAAAAAATCGCAAACATCCCAGTTGAGTCAGTTCTCACGTATAAGTTCTTAGGCTTAACATTATCCCTCGACCTTTCCTGGACTATGCACGCAACGAACGTAATTTCATCAGCAAACAGGGCCTTAGGATTTATAAAACGCCACCTTCCTCATGCGCCACAACAAGTCAAACTACTTGCGTACAAAATTATTTTTCCGACCAAAATTAAAAGATGCCGCTGCCATCTGGAACCCTAATCAAACATACATCATCAATGCACTCGAATCGCTTTAGAATCGTGCCACTAGATTAATTCATTCTTCGTATTCATATCACGTCAGCATTTCCCTCTGCCTCTAAAGGCAGAATACAAACTTTCCATCCCTCACTTTTCGTCGTCGTGTCACTAGTCTCTCTTTCTACCACAAATTGTTTTACAGCTCGCTGAACCACCCACTTTACATCACGCCATCATCGTCACGCGCATCACTGAGATCCAGCCATAAACTGCAAGTAACCCGTCTACGAACACGAACAGTAACATTTGAAGCCTCATTTTTTTCTCGAGTTGCCCAAAAACCGGAACGAACCTGCCTTACCACGCTGCCGACATAAGAAGTCATACCGAATTTTCGATCACATTGCCAACCTGTATCACACCACGACACCTGCTTTTATTTTACTATTATGCTAACCACTCCTAATGTACCACCTTCTTCTGACGCCGTGAAGCTCTCGCTGAGTGGTACCCTCTCCTCGGACTCCTCGACCGTGCCTCCACCTTTCTCTTATCTTATCTTTACTTCTCACTTTATCCTTTTTAATCCCTCCTTATCTTCCTTCCCTCGTGAGCCACTTTTGAGGTGTCCCACTCTGATGCAGACAGTTACGGGGCTCACTTTTATCTTCTTTTCTCTCATTCAGGAATCACTCCCCCCACCCCTGTCCTAATGTTATACCCCTAAACGGGGGTCTGGTAATAAAATGAAATGAAATCTTGAATCATTGGATGTGAAAGGAAATTTCGAGACTGCGATGTATCTACAAGTTCTCCTGACGACAGTGGGACTCTTGGATTCACACGAACTGCACCAGTGACCGTAACGGGACATCACGTGTTAAATTAGCCAGTCAGTCGTGCGCCAAGAGCGCGTGTTATACGGGCGCGGCCTTCAAGCGGTCTCCTATCAAACTAGAGCACGGCACCGAGAGTAGACCACCGCGTGAGCGGTGGCATGCCATCTAGTGAGCGATCTTGCAACCAACGGTGGGCACAGCTGAGTCTCTAGCGAAAGCATTGAGAACTAGCGACTATGGTGATGGACAAGCCTAGAGTATGAGGAGGAAGTTCTTAAAAAAAGATAGAAAACGAACCGTGAATCTGATACTTTAATTAGCGGCGTTGAACTGTTCCGTCTGATAGCCTACATTGTCCACCGAAGGAAGGTGCATACATATGACTGGGGGAAACCTGAGCGAAGACTAAAACACCGTCGGTGCTCTAAAATTATGAAGAACACCATCAAGTGGCCCAGAAAATGAAGCTGGATAGAGCTATATTATACGTCAATATTTTTTTTTGTTTGTTTAGTGGTAAGATCCGGGTTATAATATAGTATTCCAGTCCGTGTCAAAGCTTCGCGGCTTCTTTCGGCTGTTTGAGAGCGAATCCTCTGCAACAAGCACTTCCTCGTAAACGTTTTCTCGTTAGCGCTTTCGCCGCAATTCGACGTCGTTTCGTTCACGACGTCCTCCTGAAAGCGTCCCGTCTTTTACAAGGGCTGAGAACTTCGAGTTTCGAAACGACAGACCACTGTAGTCTAATATGTTTGACTTTCCTTTCATTCTCCGCCAAAACAGTACGTCATTGCTTATATAGTGCACAAGGCCTGGCTGTGGGCCCAAAACACATCGCGGTGTAATACTCCGCAAAACCTTGCGATCATGGTACTTCTGCGGAAGACTACCCTGTGCAGTGGTAATTATAAGCTTTACGCATTACCGAATGACTAAAGTAGGCCTCCGGTCATAAAAACTGGCTCACAGAGATAACCTGATTGGGGACGACATCGACTTCCAGCAATTTGGGCAGTGACGACAACTATATCGAATGGTTTCTCCGCCTCCGCGGATATTTCTGCAACGCACAGTGATCGAACTGGACGCCTACGGACACGGGCACTGCGTACTCTAGCAAATGGACGTGCAACTCCTAATGCGAGTGCTATATTGGAAGTGGCCTAATAACCCCGTAATACAACTCGCAAACAAACTCTGCGTGCTTGCGGGGCCGGCCAGCTAGACGGAGCAATGCCATAGGGAACCGGCTGAGTGTGTGCGAAGAGGGAGTTGGACAGCGTGGACGATGGGAACACGTTTCGGATCGAGTGGTGTACTGGGAATTTGTTTACCGCAACACTCGGCGATAGCCCCTCCACGCACACGCACGCACACACCGCACCAGTCACGAGATGGCGACACACTACTGAATGTCCTGCAGTGACGTCCCAATAGAACCAGAGATGCGTTGAAGCGTTGCTACGGGTGCTGGGGACACGGGCTTTAGACTTGCGCGCGCAGACGTTGTGTACACAAAGGGCGCTGCGATTCTGACGAGATGCACTTTCATTAGGCCGCTGGATCGGATGTTGAATGCTAGTCGTTTACGTTGAATCTTTAGATATATCTTCTCCCTTTATCTTCTCCTTGTATTTTGCCTCGCCATGGTGGTCTAGTGGCTAAGGTACTCGGCTGCTGACCCACAGGTCGCGGGATCAAATCCCGGCTGCGGTGGCTGCATTTCCGATGGAGGCGGAAATGTTGTAGGCCCGTGTACTCAGATTTGGGTGCACGTTAAAGAACCCCAGGTGGTCAAAATTTCCGGAGCCCTCCACTACGGCGTCTCTCATAATCAAATAGTGGTTTTGGGACGTTAAACCCCACAAATCAATTCAATCTTCTCCTTGTATATTATTTACTTTACAACTGTACTTGGTGATAAACTAAACTCAAACTCAAACATGGATGGATGCCCAAACGTCTTTTTGAAGGTTGAGTACGCCTAACTCAGAATTTGCGTATAACTGGCTCAGGACACGACTTAAGATTTTTATGGCATATTTAGCAGCTTTTAAGTTTAGAAGACACAGCGTACAAGAGCAGTTTTAGCACCGTATTGAGTAGTGAGCGTAAAATAGTAAGCGTTGACAACCCGTCCCAACGCCCTTGTACTGGATCGTGGTGCAAGCGAACTACCATTCTTGGCAAGAGTGGTAGTTTGGTGAACTAAGTTTAATAATTTATTTAAAGATTCGGTTAATACAGTTAACGCTTGATTTTATGTATAAATATTTGGCCTAATCGGAAAAATCTCAAGTTTGGTGAATGGAGCATCATACTTCGCCGGCCGCAATAGTTTTTCATTAAAACAAAGGAACACAAAAGGCATTACGTCACTTTAGCTGGCGCAAAAACTTAGTATAACGCAAAACAACTGAACTGAAGCATTCATCAAGTCAAACTGATGCTGGTACCTTCACACAGGGAAATGAAATGCTGCATTCATGCGAATCGATTGTAACGCAATATTTGGCTCTAAGTAGAAGAAATCTCGAAAGAAACTCGCGTTACATTCGAGCGAATACGCTAATTATTGATTTTTTAAGCAATCAGTCACTCGATCGTAAAGTGCATGCGCGAACACACGTCAGTCAGTGCATAAGTTGAACACACAAACACACAGATTGTTTGTTAGGACATACGCTCGCACGCGCCAGCCAGTGGAACACACACCTTATTTGCCAGGACATCCACGCAAACGCGTCAGCCAGTGGAACACACCTTATTTGCCAGAACATTCGCGCACAAGCGTCAGCCAGTGGAATACACACCTTATTTGCCAGGACATCCACGCACACGCGTCAGCCAGTGGAACAGACACCTTATTTGCCAGAACATCCGCGCACATGCGTCAGCCAGTGGAACACACACCTTATTTGCCAGGACATCCGCGCGCACGCGTCAGCCAGTGGAACACACGCCTTATTTGCCAGGACATCCGCGCGCACGCGTCAGCCAGTGGAACACACACCTTATTTGCCAGAACATCTGCGCACACGCGTCAGCCAGTGGAACACCCACCTTGTTTGCCAGGACATCCGAGGCGGCCAGCATGGACTGCGCGATGATGGTGCTGATGTCGCAGTACACGTCCTGCAGCTCGTCCAGCAGGCGGGGCAGCGTGGAGCCGTAGTACTCGTCCAGCATTCCGTTGGTGGCGGCCAGCTGCTGGACGTACGCGTTGTGGCAGTCGTAGTAGGCGGCCAGCGCCGCCTGCTCCTCGGACGCACTCAGCGGCGACGGCTGGTCCAGAGGCTGCGGCCGTCAGGTCGGTGCAGCCTCGACGGCACACCGTCCGGTACGCCTCGGCGTACTCGCCCTGGCACTGATTGGGACAAGCGGTGGAGTGTTATGACACAGGTAGTGGCATTACGTTACGGCGTATTCGAACTGCGGTGATATGACACTTTCGTATGGGCCGATAATCGCAGAGCGCTAATGGCACGAACTGGCACGACGCTGGCAAATAGTCCCAGCATTGTAGCAGAGCATAAACACCCAATAAAGTGGATAGCAGAGTTACCGCCGCTGTTGCTGAAGTAGTGCAGAATCGGAGGCGGTATCCGAAGGTCTGGTTTTTGTCTGCAGGAAAGTCGGTTTTTAACCATTCTAAATTCATTTCCTCTTATGTCATAATTGCTGTCTAGTTAAAACATACAAGCAGAGGTTGGCAAACTCACTTATAGGTCGATTCACCTGGATTAACTCAGACTAAGTTCGAGTCGTGAGTGTGAGTGAGTCTTGGTGAATGTTATTTTGGTAATTTTGGGTCCGATCGAGTCCGGTTGAATGACGTTTTCGTGAGTGTGAGTCGAGTTAGTCCGAAGCGCGAAATATATTTCATGAGCGAGTCTGAGTGACCTCCACAAGTTTTGCCGAACTATGCGTACAAGTAACGTCCTCAATACGTGCCTTATCTTCGTTGCCTGTAGGTTTCTTTATGTTGTGCCTAACAAAAGAAAAGTGAGCCCTCGATTGATTCCCCGCTCCCCTCTTTCGTTCGTGGCATCAATAGGCAGGGTATATTTATTTAGAGCAATAGCCTCAAACACGTCGATCACCAACGTCTTATTTTTGGCCGGGTGCGCACATACCTGTCTACGTCCCGTATTTTTCTATTACTTGGTATTTAGTTAGTAAATACGTTTATGATCTGGACAGACGTGACTGGCTTCAATTCTTGGGGCACCTCAGACAGTCACCGTGTGTTTAAAAATACCCGTTAAAGAAAAAAAGCACACACACACACATATCTGTGTATCGGAACCTGGCTGTTCCCGTATAAGGCCTTTCCTGAAGCACACACGTGGAATGTTTATTTGAAATAAGGACCGTTTTACGCATGTGCTTTGCTATGAATACCCCTGTCGGTGAAGAAATGGTGTTAGGAAGTTAACGTAAAGGGCTCATTCTTCACATCTTTCCTTGTTATAACGTCTATTTATTCTGCGCTGCCGTAGACGCCTTATGCGTGAGTGTGTAGATACCACTTGCGCACAGCTGAGGCGTATGAAATGTGGGGACTGATGTGTGCCTAACCTTGTTGAGCAGTTCTTCGGCCTTGACGAGGATGTTCTCGAAGCTCTCCCGGTGCAGGAAGACCTTCCGCGACTGCGCCTTTCGGTGAAAGGTCTTCTCCAGCAGCATCACGCCCATGTGCTGGGATAGGCAGCGTGAGATGTCACCGTGAACCTGCACAGAAGATGGAAAGAAGGAAAGAAAGAAAGAAAAGAGAAAGGAAGAGAGAAAGAACGAGAGAGAAAGAACACAAGAGAAAGAATGAGCGAAAGAATGAATGAGAGAGGAAGAACGAGAAAGAGAAAAAACGAGAGAGAAAGAATGAGAGAAAGTGAAATATAGAGATATAAAGAGAGAGAAAAAGAGAGAAAGAGAAATGGAGAGAAAGAGAAAGAGTGAGTAAGAGAGAAATAACGAGAGAGAGAACGATAAGAGAAAAAGAGAGAGAAAGGTTGAGTAAGAGAGAGTAAAGAAAAAAGAGAGAAAGAACGAGAGAGAGAAAGAGAGAGAAAGAGAGAAAAAATTTATATGATTGACTGTAAATCTCCGTGAAAGATTCCCTGTTGTTTAGACTTCTTTTGTGAGCTAATGCAAGCCCAAATAAAGTGTTACAATAAGAACCAGATCTAAATTTGCGCTTCACTACTCACGATAGCATGCTGAATAGATTTTAGTCTCAATATTAATTTTTGGTATTTTGTTGACAAGAGTGCATTGGCGAAAAAGAATTGTTGTGGCAAGCTAGACCCTATTGTCAGCAGTAGAAAACTGCGTTTTCCTCAGTTTCAGTTAAAGTGGAATTGGCTCTTTTAAAAATTAAAAAAAAAACATGACATATGTATCTAATATTATTTGTAGCTCGAACGAGATCCTTCAACTACGAATTTTATTTTTAAGCTCATTTTCTGCACGAATATACCGGGAAACCAGAAATCAGTGCTTAGCCGGAAGTTCATGAAAGAGAAACTGGAGCTTGACTCTTTGATCGAGGCACTAAAGACCGCTTCCGTTTAGCCTGAAACCATTTGACATCGGTTTTAATAAGTAAAACCTTTAGCGAAAACTTCCACATACTTAATAAATCGTACGTAAAGCGTCATTAGGAACGTTATTACACGTGCGCGAGAAGTTTTGCATATGCGGCCAACTGTGTTGCAAGAAAGCATTGCTTACCTGGGAGTCTACTTCCACTTCCTGAAGAAGCACTTCCCAACAGTTGAAGAGACTACTGTGGTACGGAGGCCTGCGAGAAGGAAATATGGACCAACTTGAATTGAAAAAAAAAATGTTGCGAAAGCTGATGCGCTTTCGATTTACATCCCGACAACTTAAACGGAGTGAAAATGCAGTGTGCAGACTGACAACTCAGCCAGCCGAGTTGACACCTGAGCCAATTCGGGTGGCTCCATCAGTGGCAGTACCGGAGAAGGCCCGGTCTGGAACTTACGATTTCTGCACGACTACTTCTCAATGTTCAAGCATCCAGTATAGTCCCTATTGCGTGGGAAAAGTGTTCCGAATTCGCGCCGCTCCAAAGCAATCTTCGCCACCTGAACAGGTGGTTTACTTTCAGTGAACCTCCAGAATGACTATTTCGCTTTGCCTCGTGCAGCGGGCAATGCTGTCGAACAGAAGGCCCTGTGGCCAGAAGGCCCTATGTTACGGGACAAAATGCCCTTTAGAACAGAACGGAACAATGGGCGCATTCAAATTCTGCAACATTGTTATTGGTCTTAGTTGACACAACTCAGAAGAAGCAAGTGTTCTGTGTGAAATTATCCTGCGATATAAAGCTGAGATAAACCCACAGAATCGCAGTGTTTTCGACTGTCTTTGTGTTCATGTCTGGAAAAGCATTTTAAGCGCGTAACAGAGTGTGCCTACGTCATCCCTTGAGAATGCTACCTTTCGTACGAGCTCTTAAGCCTCTCAGATGATTCGGAAAACTGTTTGTACAGAAAAAGAAACAGACTGTGTTGTTGCAGTCTTCGCAAAACTGTGAAACAACTCCTTACCGGCTTTGTCAGTGTAAGAACGAGATTTGACATAGCCGTTCTCCGCTTAGTTGTCGTTTTGGTCGTCTACGGCAAGCATTGGGAAGCACACTATGATTCGTTCAAAGTGTTTTCTGTCGCACAGATAAACGTAAACAAGTTCGGAAATCATGGCCTTGTTTACGTCGTGTACGAGTTTTCGGTCCAGGATCAGTGAAATTTCATTGTTGCTAAGCTCGGAGCTTACAGGATACGCTGCAATCTGTCCCGCATTTCGTTCTTTGTGACGCAATCATGAGGGCCCAGAGGAACTCAGTGAAGTGAAGTGGTTTTTTTAGTTGGAGGCACCTTGCTTATCTGCGCGCTAAGCAAAAGCTAGACAAAACAAATGAGTGAAAGGAGCAGTCAGAAAGGAAGAACCAGACAACTTCGCTTTTCCTTGAATAACTTTGTCGCGTCTTCTGGGAAAGACGCTTCGAAGCAAACCTTGTCTTCAAAAGGCGAAGGGAGCGAAGGAGTGGGTTCTTCGCGTAAGGCAGCCAAGTCAAGCCAAGCAACGCCTAGCCCAGCCCGGGAAGACATAACCTCGCGGACGATTCTCGCTACAGTGGGACCGCCGAAAAAAGTTGCGCTCGCAAATTGCGTTAGCGTCGAAGGTGGGCGTGAAGATACAAGTGGAGCATCCAAGCTGCAACCCACTAGTTCCGTGCAGCGATGCGGTGAGTGCGGCCGAGCGTCACAGTTAGTTAGTGGCATGCCACCTACATGAAGAATTTCGAAATATTTTCACCGGTCTGTTACTCGGATAAACATCGGGTTAAAAATCTGTGCATAAACTAGTTTTATCGGCATACTGAACAGCTGGTGGGATGGCTGAGTTGCTAAGGCACTCGATATGTTTGCAAGCAACACGTAGAGGTGGTTTTGGTTCCCGCTACTCATCGGCTTCATTTCGCAACACAGTGTAAGTGATCACCACTATCCTGTGACGCAGGTGCTAGGGGCAATGATTCTAGCGTCATATCGCGAAAAGATTGAGCTACACGTCGTAGAAGTTCTACTGCGATGACCGAATGTCTTTCGCCTATTTCGCAGTCTGAGTATGTCGGTGCTTGGGTAATGTTTTTTTTTATTTTACGCTAGGTATTAGGTGAAAGTTCAGTGATTTTAGAATGTTATTGGTGTCGGGTTTATTGTTCACACATATTTCTTGGCGTACACGTCAAGAAATATGTCAAGGCAGTGTCAAGACAGTGTCAACACGTCAAGACAGTGTTGTGTCTGATACAGGTTTGTCAACCGACACATCATCGTTCTTCTACTCAGTCACGATATATGTACCAACGGGTCACGTCCCTCTGTGTTTTTTCAAGAGATCAAGAACTTGTCTTCGGAGGTTGATTGTATCTAGTCTTGTCTTTCACTTGTAGTAGTTTCAATTGACTGGGACCAGTGCGGTCTACGGAATAAATAAACAAAAAGATGTAACTTTATTTCCTGGATGGAGTACAGGAGTAATTGATGAAACTGACCTCTGCGCGTCCAGCGCTCTTCTTCAACTGACTGCAAAGTTGGAAAGGGTCTATTTTGTTAACGAAGCAGATAGAAACACACTCACTAACGTTACGGAGAAGGTGAAGTTTATTTTTTTATATTTCATGACGCTGAGTGATTACCTGCATGACCGCTGAGTGGCGAAGAATAGTACGCCTTAATTTCAAATTGCCATGTTCTTGAGCAGGACTGTTTTTCGAAACTTGCGTAGGCTTAATTTAGGAGGCTTAAAATTTTAATAGATGGATCATAGATTTAGCGTCCCTTAGCAGCACATTGCGCAGGGTGCGAAAGACACCATAACGAGTAACTCGATCTAAAATGTTTACAACCGCGAGCACGTTTTAACGTTTTCTGTACGCTATGTTCAGTCCACTTATCAATAAGGCCTCTGTGACCAGGTATCGAAACCATGACTTTACGACCAATGGGGCTGTGTCGTAGTCGTTGAGACACCGGGGTCAATGTTGCTTCACGTGCCCTACTACAGTAAGACGCCGCACCTAACTTCTGGTGGGGCCTGGGCCGTGCTCTCACACATTTCGTACTCCCCCCGGTATTTAGTCCTTTAGCGCGTCCGCTAGAGAACGACCGAGTTATTCCGCCTTCTCAGGAACGCCGTTCCGCGGGAAAGGGAGATCAAAAGAGAAGGAAATGGCAGCGTAAACCGAAAGGCGTAATTTATTTATTTATTTGGTTCGGGTACATAGAAAACACGAGGGCGTAGAGGAAAAAGAGAGGGAGCAGAATGACAACTGCCACATATAGGGGCCCGGCGCCTGCCTGCTCCTTTGGAAAGGAAATACATAGAGGAAAGGAAGGCATAATTGAAGAACAAAGGAGGGAGAAAAGGGAAAAAATATCAAACACATGCGAAAGAAATAAACAGTCACGTAATAGCAGTACCTCGAGAACAATGACGTAGCTTCCTTTTACCACGTCGCTCGGAACAAGATTACAAGAAACGGTAAAGGTAGAAGCAGAGTCGGAACCCTCGAGCGATTTTTGGGTGTGCGGCGACGCAGCCCATGCAACGGCTGCGCGCGGTGGAAGGCGACTGGTGGCGACAACTTGTAGTTGCTGACCCGCACAGTGACCGTTCGGGCCTCTTCTATTGTTTCTGTTCATTTTAGCGGTGCACTCACGCTTCTGCACTTACTTTGTCGTTAAGTCCAGGTAGTCGTAAATATATTGCTGCCCGTCGGGCAGAGTGCACTAGGGTCTCGGTAAGAACGTTCTGTCTGTCGAATTGTTTCGTGACTAGCAAGAAGAAATAAAAACGGTAGCAAGGGTTGAACGCGGGGCTGACGCTGTTTGTTTGACGCTTTTATCGACGCCTTTATTCGGGACCACTCGAGTTGGTTCATCTTCGCCTTTTTTTTTTTGCGACAGTAAAAACACTGACGCCAACTCCATCTTTGTTCGCGGCTGATATCAACCTAGTTTTTTTTTCTACAAAAAAAAAATACCCAAGCTCGCAATGACTCATTTTAGGCAGTGTGTGAAGCAAGCGTCTGTAAAATTCGCATTTGGTCAAATACTGGTGATGCCAATAAGTGCACAGGTGTAGATTGAGCGCTAACTAATCATGCCGTAACGACTGACTGCGCACGATTCCATCCCAACAGCCGCGCCTAAATATTTTTTATAAAAGTTCAAAGGACTGTAAGAAAAAAAGATAAAAGAAAAGAAGGAAGAAAAACAATGTCTGCTGCGTAAAAGTTTTAGCTATAAATCGACTTGTATATAGTTTTCTTCCAGACAGGATGCCACCTCCGTTGTTCACGCTCCTGCTAACCAGTGCTCGTATGGGTGCAGCTCTACAAGTATGACTCAGAGAGCATAGCCACTACGCGGCTTAGTCGATAATTTTGTATGACGCGTTACTGTCGTGGCACTTGGTGAATGAAGGATGTTAATTGCGAAGTTTCGGTACGTACATCAACTGCGCGCTTCGCCTTCTTTTGTACGAGCCGCTAGAAAACTCTCGTCATTGTCTGTTTTCTTTTCTTGCGTATGTGTCTCGTTTCGCGCTAGTTGCTTGTAGTAATAATGAGCTAGTATGCACGGAGCGTACCAGTGGGCTTATTCTCTGGCGAGTCGGAATTAGAACGTAAAGAAACACTCTTCAGTGTTCAACGCAGGCTTCAAGAAGTTTCATGAAAAATAAAAAGGCAGCATATATACGGTACAAGCATACGTATACCTGAGTTAAACAACAACAACAACGACGACGACGACGACGACGAAATGAACCTGAAGCAGACTTTTTCCGGGTGCTCAAAAGCAGCGCGGCTGAGGCGGCTCGCAGTAACGAGATTGCCGCCTTGTAAACAGGATTCGTTCCCTTGCTTCTCTTTCTTCCACCTGCCTTTGCAAGAACGCTTTGTTACTGGCGACGGCGAGAGACGATGTGCGAGAAGCACGGAATGAACACGGCGAACGTCACACGCACGTTGCCGCCGAGGCAATTTCGGGACTTCGCACGTCGGCTTAGAAATCGCGTTTGTATAGCGTGTAATAAGCCATTCACTTTTTTCTTCCTTTATATTTTGCCGCGCGTGACACCACCGTCGCGATGAGGCGGACGATGCTTCTTAAGTGCTTATACACGTGCGCTCATGAGCAGTATCTGGCGGCACGCTCCATTAGCTACACGCGAATTTCTTCGTATTTTTATTTAGAGAGAGAGAGA